ATTAAAAGGTGCAAATCCCAGAAAATGTTAAAATTGCTTTATCTATGCTCTCAGACATGTATCTCTGTTATTTACAACCTACTTGACAGGCTAATATCACATTTTTTATTAAGTGTCTACTTTCAAGAAACACACTCCACCAATGTGAAAACGCCTAATTAAAGTCGTTTCCCTCAGCTTTTACATGTTTACTCATTTCCCAAGTTTCTAGTTCATGTTTTAAGATATGTACTTTTTGCATTTGTTTTTCTCCATTTGTCCTGATGCAGTGTAAATTAACTGTAGCTGCATGCTGCACTGAAAAAAGAAATCAAATAAAGCATTGATTCCACATTGCTGTAGAAAAAAACACTATCAGCTGTTTCGAAAGAAAAGATTAATAAGAAGTACTGTCTGAATTAACATGAACCTCATATAAGAAGTGAATATAAATGTAGTTTAAGCCTTGAATTTTCCACTCCTATGCCCCTGCAGAGTATCAGTTCAAACCTTCCAATTCTCAGCTTTTGTTCAGGGTCACATAAGTCCCCTAGTTCCAAGCTTGTTCCCTTCGCATCTTTTATCCCATCCAAATCTTAGTCCCCCCACCCCTTTATACTCCTGGATTTGGCCAAGAGTAGTGTATGTGTGTCGTGGAATCTGGAATGATGGACTAAACTCAGCTGGTTGTTTTTATTGTGGGGATGATTCCCCCCCTTAACATAGTTACAGCTGCCAAATACGTCATGTTTTCCTTCTCCACGCCAAAGCTCAGCCCTTCTAAACTCCTAAATGGTAAGATAATATTGGTTGGAATGGGAGGCTGGAGGAAAAGTAGAGCACTCGAGAGACTTCGTGGGACCCTGAGGTCAGAAGGTGTGGCCTGCACACTGAGCACATAAAGACTGATAAATGTAAAGGTTCATGAAAAGGTCATTGGATGCCAGGGTGCTAACAGAAAAATCAACTTCATACTGCACAATACATTTAACCTGGAATAACTAAGTTAGTGTGTCTTCAAGGAGAAAATACAATAAAGAACGCCTGCAGCTTGCTAATGTCTGGATTATTATGTGAGCTGTATTAACAAAACAACTGTGCATAAGAAAGTGACTCTCTGAGGCTTTGACCATGATAACATACTCTCTTTAGTCATATACAGTATTCCTACCGTTTATTCAGTTAAGGCAGAGAGCTCTAAATCCCAATGTGGATACAGTGAAACAGTGATATTCTGTTTTCTTTTGGATTCATTCATTACATCTGAAAAAGAGAAAGCCTTTACTAAAAAACAATGTTTTTTTAATGTTGCATTCACCAAATTTGGAATCACATTGATGCCCATTTGTGATATGTGTATAAGAATTTCTTTTATTTATGTATTAATCACATTATTTTGTTGTATAATGCCTTGGTGCAACTGGATTTTAGCATGTCTCACCCTCATGCAGTTAGACAGAGTGTGGGGGTCTGGTAAGGAAGTTGGGGGAAGCAGACAACTCCACAGGAAGAATCTTTTGTCTCTTCAGCAACTCTGGGAGGTAGCAAGGGAGTGTGAACCTTAAGGTGCGAAACAGCTGTGGTAAATGGTAAATGGACTGATTCTTATATAGCGCTTTTCTACTCTCCCGGAGGACTCAAAGCGCTCTATACAACATGCCTCATTCACCCAATCACACCCATTCTCACAAGCACTTTATCTATACTTAGTGCTCTCTAACGACATTCATACACATTCATACTCCGATGGATGCATCGGAGAGCAAGTTGGGGTTAGTATCTTGCCCAAGGATACTTGACATGCAGACTGGAGGAGCCAGGGATCGAACCACCGACCTTCCGATCAGTAGGTGACCTGCTCTACCTCCTGAGCTACAGCCACCCACAACAAGGTGTACTGCCTTTTGTTCCTGGACAAGGTATTTAACTGAGAGCCATGCTAGGCTCAGAGAGAGAATCTGCTGACCGTCTGCCCCACGATCATGCGTGCTCTCCACCAAGCTTGGTTTTCTGTTCTTTGTCTTGATTAAAGAATGTTAGCTACTGCTCACCGCTTGTCTGCAGGCTTTATTTAATGGAAAACTTCCACAACGTATGTAAGCGTTGGAGCAAGTGCACACTGCTTTTAAACAACCTTCTAAGGTTTTTCAAACACGGCTGGTTAACTTTCTTTAAAATGAACATGTTCCCCTCCTTGTGATTCATGTATGATGATACTTCTTAAGAGGTGCATTTAACTGGACAAAGTTACTATGCACAAACTTGCCTTGCAATGATTGGTTTTGTTCTCATCCACCAGTGTGGTTCAAATTGCAATTACTGAAAAAATCCCTTCAGAGAAAATGATGTACCAACCAAAACTCCAGCTGACTTCCTTTTTGTCTGCACCTATTCTTCAAATATTTTATGCAGTAATTAAACACCTTACACACCTTTTTTTTTTACACACCTAGCTAGTACCAGGTTGGAAGCCCTTTTGCCTTCTGAACAACAAACTGCTGAAAACATTTCTCAGAGATTTTGTTCATATTGAACTGACATCATGTAATTGCTGCAGATTTGTCAACTACACATCCATGATGCAAATTTTCCATTCAACCACATCCCAGAAGTGTTCAACTGGATTGATCTGGTTACTGCATAGGCCAGTGAAGTCACTGTCATGTTCAAGAAACCAGTTTGGGGTAATTTTAGCTTTATAACATAGATGGGTATATTGTCCCAGATGGGATAGGCTCCAGCACCCCCCGCGACACTGAAAAGGATAAGCGGAAGCGAATGGATGGATGGATGGATGGGTATATTGTGGGCATAAAGAGATAGATGTAGTCAGCAACAATACTCGAGTGGCTGTGGTATTTGAATGAGCATCAAAAGGTACAAAGGGGCCCAATGTGTTCTAAGAAAATACTCAAAACTCCACCATCACCAGTCTGAACCATTGATACAAGGCAGGATGGATCCATGCTTCGTGTTGTTTACTCCAAATTCTAACCCTTACCAGGCAATGTTTTTCCAGTCTTCTATTGTCCAGTTTTGGTGAGTTTAGATTAATTGTAGCCTAAGTTTCCTGTTCTTAAGGTGAAAATATCCATTGAACTACTGCTCAGTGGATATTTCCTATTTTTCAGACCATTCTCTGTAAAGTGTAAAAATTATGTGGGGAAAATCCCACTAAATTATTTATTCATGAAATCTCCAAAAGTTGACTCTGTTCATCTGGACGTAGTGTTTTGTAGGAGAAACGTTTCGTCACTCATCCAAGTGACTTCTTCAGTCTCAGCTGACTGCAGGTTTCCCCAATCTTATAAACAGTACATTTGCATAATGACTGAAACCAGCCCACTGAATGAACAATGGGCTGGGAGGTCAGTTCCTTCATCATGATTATGCAAATTCTCATGACCACTGATCAACAACCACTGATCAAAGACCACTGATCAAATTCATGAAATACTCAGAGAAACCTGTCAAGCAACAACAATCTTTAACATGTTAATAAGCTTAAATGCTTTGAGATTGGTTGATTGGATATCTGTGTATACAAGTCACTGAACAGATTTACCAGACAAAGAGTGAAAAAAATGCAATTTTTACTTCTCTACATATACAATTATAACTATTATCCATCTCTTTTGCTTATCCTTTTTCAGGGAGGGGGGCTGTAGCCTATCCCAGCTGTCTCAGGGCGAGAGTCAGGGTACACCCCGGACAGGTTGCCAGTCTAACACATAGACACAGACAACCATTCGCACTTACATTCCCACCTATTGGCAATTTAGAGTTTCCAGTTAACCTATCTCCTCGAACAGCATGTATTTGGACTGTGGGAGGAAGCCAGAGTACCAGAGCATGCAAACACAGGGAGAATGTGGTGGAATTTAACTCAGAACCTTCATGCTGTGAGGCAACAGTGCTAACCACCGTAATTATTACAGCTGTTACAGTTGTGACATTTTGAAATACAGAGCGTACCAACCGTTGCCTGACAGTCAAACAACAACTTACTGTTGAAGTACCAAATGCAGTTAGGAAGGATGTGAATGGGTGTCTAAACATGACAGGAGGAAGTTAAAGAAATGTGAGCCGCTTTTTTACTGGCATTTTAGTAGTGGTGAAAGGGCCACAGCAATCCACAGCAACAGGAGAGAAACCTAAGATACTTGAACATAGTTTAAAAAAACATGCCTTGGGGAAATGTAATTTGCAGTTTCAAAGCTGGGATCCACATTAAAGGTAGGTGTTCTTTTGAAGACAAATATGGGGTTTCCCTGACTAAAGTGCACACATAAGGGATTGACCAGACTGTCATTGTGTACAGTATGGTTTTACATGCAGTTTTTATTGGTTCTTTTTTAAAAGTCAGTAATACTAGGACACAATTTAAATCTCAAACTACATCTTATTTTCATAAATGGGATTAGTTTATTCCTTTATTTAAACTCTTGTTAAGTCATTTCTGGTCATACAATAGTTTGCAATAGATTTTTCTGAGGATTTTTCTGTGGTGCATTTCGAAAGTAACGAATTCAAACTGAAAAGGTGTCTCCATAGAAACCTAGACAACATGTAACAATGGAAACTTGAATTGATATTCCATCTGTTTCCTGCAAATCTCTCTGTGATATTGTTGTCTATTACCAACATCTGCTGTAGGAAAGAATCTGGAAAACATTGCCTCTTGTTTCCAGTGATGCAACAAACCAGAAGGCACATATCACCCTTTAGTAAACTGTAGTAAGCCTGAGCACAGTTGATTGCAGTAGAACAATTATTTACAAAAAAACAGTTACGAGTTTACAAAATCACTACACCAGACAAACTACACAATAACCCCACATTATAGGTGTAATTTATTAGGCTAATAAAAAATACCTCATTTTAGCCTCAAAACACTTCTCAGCTACCCACTATAAAGTAGGTGTATACAGAAACACAACATTCTTCAAGTGACTTGCATGAGGAGCTTTTCCAAACTAGAGTTAAGAATGGACTGGAAAGTAAATGTGATATTGTTGGGTTAGGATGCCCCCTGCTGTGGCCTTAGGGCCAAACTGCAAACTCAAAGTTAAAAACACAATAAACAGCCTATTCTTCTTTTTTTGTTCTCTCTGAAAAACAGGCCTACAGACACAGCTACTGCTGCTGTTCACCATCAGCTCAACATATGGACATTCTTCACTTGAGTCTACAACTTGATGATCCGTTTTTTCAAGCATAATTTTCACAGAGGAATGCCCAACAATGAAGAGACAGCAACATTCAAGCCTAATGTCTGGAGAAATATTATTCATTAATGCCTTGGTACTTGAGATAAAAGATACAGTTAATCTACCTCTTTGTGCCTGATGATACAATAATTTAAAAACAAATTAATCTTCATAGAGCCCACTCAGGGAAACTGTGCGGAAAAAGTAACAGGAACATCTTAAAGTTAAAAAGTAGCTACTCACTGAACTTAACAGCTGGATGTGCCAACATAACATTGCTGTCCATCAAAAAACATGTATTACCACTTTTGACTTTTTATGAATGTAATGTGCTCATTCTGCTGTGTCTACTCTCAGGTGTAAGAACTCAAATAACTAATGAAAATAAATGTAGTAGATTTATAGAGCCTTTGCTTTTAAAAAAAAAAATGCAACTCAAAGTGCTTCACAGGTCTAGGTCCAATCAATAATCTATGTTAAACCATGAAGCTATGTTTTTATTACTCATCTTGTTGTGATGTCAGAAAAGAGAACACAAAGAACAAACAGTACTAACAAAGTTTAAGAAGAATTAATTTATGCAGACTAAAGCAGTGCTCAACTATGTTGACGTTGGGTAAAATACTAAAAAAAAGATTGCAGAACATAGGATTTCTATGTTCTGCAATCTTTTTTTTTATATTTACTTGAAAGTAATGAGTATGAATCTTCTGCTGCCATTGTTCTAGGTGAATATGTTAATGTAGGTTAACACAGCGTGGCTTGTCGGGGAAGGCCAAGAAAGAGGGCAAATCCAAGGACCTGGAACATGAATGTCCAGAAAAAAATCTGAATTTGGGGACAAACTGGACTGAAAGGAAACACTTTGTTAAACCGCTGGTGTAGGAGAGCAGTGTGAACCAGTGATGAACAGAAGCAACTGAACCCAGGAGGTCAACATCAGTTTTTTTGCCACCTTGTGGTGGACGGTAGAAGAATCAGTTTGCCAGCAAATACTCCTGTTGATCTTTGGCATTAAGCAGTGGTGTTTTTTGAAGTGGGTGGGAAGAAGAGGTGAGGAGTTAGACAGAACAACAGGACTTCCTCAAGACCTTTCTTCTGGAGCATCTCTGTAGGTCACTGTACCTTCACACACTCCTCTGCAAACCGTTAAATCCAGTGTGGAATCCAGTCTCTGTCAATGCAAGTGTTCAAAAAATATTAAAAGACTTCAATCTGTCCCTAGTATACTTGTTGTGCATTTAAAGCAGGGAACAACAGTGCTGCCATGTGGGACGAATGACGCATGAAAAAAGACTGTGTAGGCTATGAAGGAACTGACAATACAAAAGCCAAGTGGTTACATATATTGACCTACAGGGTCTCTCTGCTCTGCCACAAGCTTCAAGCTTTTTCCTTTTGTTTTTTATAAAACAAAACTAAGCTCACATAACGTTACCATCTATGACAAGGCATCATGTGATGCAACAATTTACCTTTGCCATGAGAGTTATTGGCCTCTCTGCCAGTAAGTTTGCTTCATGCATTGTACATTTCCTTGAAGAAAACTCCTCATATAAAGAATACATCCTGCGAAGAGATGGATGTGGCTACCAGAACCGAAACCTCCTCTTATGCAACACCCTGCAAGTTTACTACTGAAAACAAGAAGCAAGTTACGCAGTAGTATCTTAAAAGATGTCACACACAAATAGAGGGTAATTTTCTGAATAGTGAGAGAAGCCAAAGGAACAGAGACATCCATGTATCAGGTGAGTGTCCTGCTGTGATCCAGGGAGCTATGCCCAATCCACAGCCATACCATGTGAGATACATGGACTACAGTTTCTTCGCACACTTCAGCCAAGTGAACACCTGCAAGTCAATCCGACCGGGGAAAAGTGCTGCCGATCTAACAATGGATTCTCTCATTAACTTCACATTTACTTTACTTTCACACTGAGATGATTCCAGGCTATTTTAAAAAAATGCATGCTTACTTTTGAACATGTGAGTCCAATTTTATGTTTATATAATGTGTGAATGTGTTAAAACTCAGTTTTTGGCCCTCTCTTCACTGCCCCTATTTTTTCTTCTTTCCTCCTTTGATATGAGTCGATCCACTAGATTCAATGCTGATGAAGCTATACCATACCACCACACTGATAACTTACAACCCTAACCAACCTCAGGAAGAAGAGGAGACATCACAGTGTCACTATTATACAGCACCAGATGACAAATTAAGAAGCTTAAGCTTCTTAATTTGTCATCTTCAAACGCTTAATTTTTTTTTAACATGATACAGTGTCGTGTTGTTGACCTTAGCACTAGAGAGTGTGCACCAGAAATTACTGGTAAATTCTTATAGTATGTGGTCAAATGTATCTTAAGGAGGAAATCACTACAAATAATTTTATTACTCTTAATAGCCTTCGGACATTATTTGGCCAAGCTCGAGGTTTTTATAGAAATTGGGAAACTGCCAGGTTAGGAGTTGAGATAGATTAGCTTTGGGTTGTTTTTTTAAGACCAACCTGTCAGACGGATGCGTTCATGTCTGTGGAAGAAGGCTAGCAATTAGCACAGAAATGCTGCGCATTTAATTAGAATATAGACGAGGCTTCGATGCAGCGAGTGCGTTGTGTGGAAATAGCCTTGCTATCGCTAATTCAACGGCTGAATGGGGCACAAGTAGAGACTCAGGACGCGAGGGCATTTGAAAAACACGCATGTCCACTTGTGGTCACAGCGAAACAAGTAGGTGCATTTGAAATATTAAACGGCGCACTGATGACTGTGTAAAGTCATTTCGCATCCCAAATGTGTACCAAAATAGCATTATTGCTTCATTTAGGTATTTAGTTTTACATGAAACGTGTATTTTTTCATGCTCCTGATTTTATTTATTTATTTACTTATTGGATGTACGTGCTACAAGTGGCACAGAAGTTGACCCTTTATTTGGTTCAGCCGACACTGGAGGGTTTTAGTAGATGTGCTTTTATAGTCCACTGATTATGTCTAGGCCTGGGCTTTGATGAGTGAACTCCAGAAGCTTACATTTTATTCCTTTTGAGACATTTAAAGGTGAATCTGGTCTTATGCTTGGGATCATTGAGGCTGTGCATTACCCAACTTTGCTTGAGTTTCAGCTCAGGGACTGATAGCAGTTCACCCACCTCCAGGATTTTAGGTCAGAGAGTCATGTTTCCCTCTATTACAGACAATCCTGTGGCCCTAAAGTAGTAATTAAATTCAAATCAATTCATTTTTATTTATATAGCGCCAAATCACAACAGCACTTGCCTTGTAAGGTAAAGACCCTACAGTAATACAAAAAAAACCCCCCATGAGTCAGATGATCTCCTATGAGCAGCACTTGGAAACAGTGGGGAGGAAAAACTCCCATCACGTGAGGCCCTTAGCAGCCTAGGCTCATTGCAGCAGGGAGGTTTCAGGGTCACCTGATCCAGACTTAACTACAAGCTTTATCATAAACTTTTAAGCTTTAATCTTAAAAGTAGATAAATAAATAACCTGTCCCCCAAAATCTAAACTCGTTGCACAGAGGAGGGGCCTAAAGCTTAAAGCTCTCCCTCCTACAGTGTAATACTCTCAGACTGATACCCATCAGTCTGAGAGCAAAGTGCCCTACTGTGGCGATATGGTACTATGGCATCTTTAAGATAAGATGGGGTTGTTCAAGACCAATTTTGGATTTAACAGGGAGTGAATGAAGATAAGCCAGTATGGGAGAAATATGCTCTCTTTCTAGCCCCTGTCAGTACTCTCACTGCAGCATTTCGGACTAACTAAAGGTTCTGGTGTTTGCTATCGGATTTCATGGATAGATGAGGCTGGTTATCATCTGCAGTGTAAATGTGTGCTATGCCTTCTAATAATGCTACCTAAGCAAAGACACCCCAATAACTTTAGTTTGCCACCTCCATGTTTCATCGTAATACATATTATGTTCTGTTTATAGAATCTTGTGTTTGATTTACCCAAAATATAATGAGACCACTTTCTATTGAGCAGTTGAATTTTCAACCACTGGGTGGACGGAGCATTCTCCTATCTACAAAAAAGATTTAAGGATCCTCAGTTTGTGTTTTGGCAAATTCACAAAAGCCTTTTGTATTCTTATTGGTTAGCGATTGTTTTTGCACTGCCACTGTTCCATAGCTGAGTTTCCACTGTCTTTTGATCAGTGAAGTCTGACCTTTACTTATATGAAAACAGCCTGCAGCTCCGTGGATGCTTTCATTCATTAGATATCTTGTAACTTCCTCAATGAGCTGTCACAGAAGGAATTTTGGATAAGCAGCCACTCCTGGGAAAGGTAAATGTTGTTCCAAGTCATTTCTGTGTGTGGAGAATGTATCCAAAGTTTTGTAGGCCTTTCCAGATATATATTTCAATCAGCTTCTTTCCTTTTATCTTCTTCTATTGTTTCTATTTAATTTTGGGACAGCAAGGTACTGGTGAGACTGTTTAGCCAATATTAAGCTATGTGATAAACTAAGTGGTAGAATAGTTTCCTTTTTTAGTTTAATAAATATAACTATCATTAAAAGCTTGTTCCAGGACTTTTATAATTATTATTTTCTGTTGAACTGAAACAGTTTAGTTTAAAATAGAGAAATTGACAAAATCAGTAAGAAGACAAATTCCTTTTTCAATACACTGTATTTGAATAGCTTTTACATACAGTACTGTTCAAAAGTCTTAGGCTGTCTTTCATTTCTTTATAATTTGGTGGGAAACTAGAAATATGGGGCTTTGTTAAAACACATATGGAAATATAATATTTAAGGCAAAAACAGAATCTGTATAATTCTAATGAGCTTGAAAGTCAACATTTGTATTGGACACATTTTTTTCTTCATTAAACTTCATCAAATGTCTTGAGCAAGCTTTCTTGCCATTTCTTTAAGTAGTTGTTAAGTAGTAGTTCTCCAGGCTTCTTGAAGAATGTTCAAAGGTCAAAGATCATCCATCAGTACTGCAATAATGTTGAGGTACAGTCGCTGACTGATAGTTTTCTGTAGTGTGTTTTCTATCAATGTATGCGTTTGTGCATTAGCAGCATTTTTCTGGTTCATTATCGTGCTAAAAGCTGAGCCCCTTTCCAATCAGACTG